CTACAACTTCACAATTTTTTGCACAGTGAAAAACATTGCAAACGGTTTTCTGAATTCACCTTAAAAGTAATCAAAAATCAAACAGTGTCATCTTTTTCATTCAAATGGCAAATTGAAATAAGATATAAACATATTATTTATATGGAATGTAAAGTGTCTGAAGAAAAAAAATAAAAGCACGTAGGTTTTGTATAATTGATAACAAGGGTCCCGTTTTAACAAAAAAAAAAAAAAAAAAAAAAAAAAAAAAACTTACGACAAAGACCAAAAACTTTAGTTGATTGTAAAATCTTCCAAAATTTATTATTCAGTTAAACATCACTCGCATAAGAATATCTTTCAAACTTCATTTTAACAAGATGTGTTTGTGAAACACTAATGCCCCCGTATGGCAACTTATAGCAAAGGTTAAACTTTCTCAAATGCAAATCAAATATGTTGGTACCCAAAGTAAAGTCTTGTCTCGAGGAATCAACCTGTAAAATATGACAGCCCTAACAGCAACCATTGAATAGATATGGAAAGGGTTTTAGTTTTTCCAAAGTATGTCAAACATCAAGGTCAAGGTCAAATAGTCAAAATTAATGGTGCCCAATGAAAGGCCTTCTCCCAAGAAATATACAGGTGAAATATGAAAACCGAAGCACCAATCGTTCAAAAGTTATGACCAAGGTTAAAGTTTTCCAAAAGTAGGTCAAACTCCAAGATCAAGGTCAAAGGGTCAAAGTTGTTGGTATCCAAAGAAAGGTCTTGTCACAAGAAATACACATGTAAGTTTGAAACCCCAAGCACCAACTGTTCAAAAGTTATGGCCAAGGTTAAAGTCTCATAAGATTTTGCAAAAGTGGGTCAAACTCCAAGGTCAAATATGATGGTAATCAAAGAAAGGACTTGTCACAAGGATTACATATGTGAAGTATGAAAGCCCCAGCTCTAACTGTTCAAAAGTTATGGCCAAGGTTAGAGTTTTCCAAAAGTAGGTCAAACTCCGAGGTCAAGGTCAAAGGGTCAAAGTTGTTGGTATCCAAAAAAAGGGCTTGTCACAAAAATTACATATGTGAAGTACGAAAGCCCTAGCACCAACCGTTCAAAAGTTATGGTCAAGGTTAAAGTTTTTCAAAAGTAGGTCAAACTCATTGGTTAAGGTCAAAAGGTCAAAGTTGTTGGTATCCAAAGGAAGATCTCGTCAAAAGGATTACACATGTGAAGTACGAAAGCCCTGGCACCAATTGTTCAAATGTTTTGGCCAAGGATAAAGTTTGGTAAAACTTTGCAAAATGGGTCAAACTCCATGGTCAAGGTCAAAAGGTCAAGTATGGTGGTACCCAATGAAAGGTCAGGTCTTGTCACAAGGAATGCACATGTCAAATATGAAAGCCATAGCTCTAACCAATCAAAAGTTATGGGCAAGGTTAAAGTTTTTGCGAACAAACAGACAGGCATACAGACAGACGGACGGACAGGGCAAAAACTATATACCCCCGAATCTTCGATACGGGGGCATAAAAATATTAAAACCATTTTAAAATCAAAGATAGAAAGTTATTCGCTAAATTACATTTTGGTCGTAGTCAGTTCTTTAACAAAACGGGGCCCTGACCTGTAAAATTTCTTTTGATTAAATCTGGGACTGAACTCTTTGCCTGCCTGCGGAACCTTAGTAATTCAGGAACTGCTCGCTAGATGGCTCGGCCATCTAGGCAAGTTAAAAAACTTGATTTCGATGGTGCCATCCTACACTACTCGGTCACTGAGAAAGGAAGTAATATAAAGCTATTTGGACCTAAGTTTTATTAGAAAATCGTTACCAAGGATTTTTATTTGTCAATATGGCTAAATCATTTCTATATTTTAATCACCATTTTATGTCTCTCGCATTATCATGATGGCTTTGCCTCACCCTGAATAAAATTTGATCAATCCAGAATCATGAACTATAAAGTTTTTCGATAAGTCTTTCGAGTTTAAAGTCATGGCGGAAAAAGAATAATAATAGGAGGAAAGACGTAATAAATAAGAACTGATTACCATCAGTATGTATTTTTTTCAGTTATGAAAATTAATCCTTCAATGATATTTTTGAGTGCATTACAGCCAATAAATGCACCTGGAATAATTATAAAACAGTGTTCTTAAGCATGTCTACATATGAATAATTATGATAATGAATATCATATTCTTAAAAAGCTTATGAGTATACGATAGCAAAAGTATCTTTATTGATCAAATGACAAATAAAAGTGTTTAAGAAGGAATTAAGAAAAGCTTTACTGCACGACTTAAAAAAAACTATTTGAAAAGACGTCTGCAAAAATGCGACACATTTACAAGTCTGGTTTCGCAATCTATTCAGATAAGACAATGATATATATAACCATGAGTTTATCTTTGCATTCAAAAGACGTACAAATGATCTAATGATAGCTAGACATTCTGGGGGAAGATTTTAGTATACCAAGGAGAGTGCATAATAAAATTGATAGCAGTATAAGAGGGTTCTTAGAAAAGTGTGTGTACAAATATCATATCGTATTATTATCGTATTATTGGGTTTTTTGAAAAGTGTGCGTACAAATTTTACATTAAAGTTTTAGAATTCAGAGAATTTAAAACTAACTGCATATAAAATTAACATTTCATTTTCCTATTAATATCGCATGGTATTAAATGAAGAGATGTTATTTGATTTTTTAAAAAATTGTTGATTAATCTGAGTAATATAGACCAAGAAATAGTACAAGAGTCTGTCGCAATAGATTAAACTTAAACAAATATTGAAGAAAGATGTAAATCTAAAACCCCGTAATGTTTTCAAAAGAAATAATCTATAGTCCCCACGCATCTACTTCATACATGCATAACACGAACATTTAAGCTTTTTTTAAAACAAGATATGTTTGTGAAATGCTGATGCCCCTGTATAGCAGTTCATGGCGAAGGTAAAAGTTTCTCAAATGCAAGTCAAACTCAAACGTCAAGGTCAAAATTTGTTGGTATCAAAAGAAAGTTCTTGTCACAAGGAAAACACATGTGAAATAAGAGCACTAGAAACAAAAATTCAAAACTTATGGCAAAGATTAAAGTTTAACAAAAGTAGGTCAAACTCCAAGGTCAAGGTCAAAAGGTCAAAATTGTTGGTACCAAAGAACGTTCTTGTCACAAGAAATACACCCGTGAAAAATGAAAGTCTTCGCTCTAATCGTTCAAAACTTATGGCCAAGGTTAAAGTTTAACAAATGTAAGTCAAAATCCAAGGTCAAGGCCAAATGGTCAAAATTATTGGTACACAAGGGAATGTTTTGTCACTAGGAATACACTCGTGATGAATGAAAGCCATAGCCACAACCGTTTAAAAGTTATGACCAAGGTTAAAGTTTAGTAAGATTTTGCAGAAGTGTGTCAAACTCCAACGTTAAGAGGTCAAATATGTTGATTCCCGGATAAAGGTCTTGACATGAGGAATACACGTGAAACATGAAAGCCCTTTCTCCAATCAATCAAAATTTATGGGCAAGGTTAGTTTTTGCGGACTAAAAGACAAACAGGCAGACGAACGGACAGAGCAAAAAGTTATATGCCTAAGATTACGTGGGAAGAAAGACTTTCCATACACAACACTAGATAGTTTCAAAATGAATATTTTATCAAGAACTCAAACTCGCGATCGTAAATTTTCCAATTTATTAAATTGAACATTTTGATAACATTTATTCCTTGTGCACGTACATACATTCTTAAACATCAATCAATCATTGATTTACAATACTGACATTTCGTACTGACATGCTTAATTATTTTTAGTGTAATATTTCACATATTTAATTCTTATTGATACCACTGGCATCAGACAAATGCAACACCCATCGATATTTCCTTGTGGTTTTTAATATTCCCCTCAAAATTCGTATCCATTTTTTGCCTGTTCTTTACTTATCTTCCTTGTAAAGTTAGCTAATAGTAACTGGCTTCAACATGTGGGTAAAGTTATAGCTACTTGTAACTGGCATCTACAATTAGGTAAAGTTAGCTACTAGTAACTGGCTACCAGCAACTGACTTAAAATGTGAATAAAGCTAGCTACTAGTAACTGGCTACGACATGTGAGTAAAGCTAGCTACTAGTAACTGGTCACGACAAGTGGGTAAAGTTAGCTACTAGTAACTGGCTACTAGAAACTGACTTAAAATGAGAGTAAAGGTACGTAGGTATTAGTAACCAAATAGTATCTAATTTTACCCACTTGTCGCTAACTTTACTTTTTCTGTAAGAAATATCAAATAAATAGATCAATTTTATTATTTGAAAGTTATCCTTTGACTGTGTGGAGTTGACTCTCTTAGAAGTTTGTAACTTGTTTACATAAAGATGATTGAAGTTTTGTTTTTGAATTTTTGTCTAATTTTAAGTGGCATTTGTCATAATCTTGAATTAATTGCAGTTTTTTCGGAACAATGAAGAGCTTTCGTGGAAGAAAAAGACACGAGAGCCTCGCCCTTCGAAACATTTTTCTTCATAGGCAAGACCTATGTAATTAATATTTCAAATTACTGACCTCACATACATGCGCTTGAAGTAATTAGTTGGGGTGGTAATGAGGTATTCTAATGTTGGAAAATAATGTACATTGAAATCTTCGATGCTATTAATTTGATAAAATCATTTGTTTTAAGCTTTGACGTCCAAATACAAGTTCTTCAGATATTGATGGAACGAAATAATTGCATTTAGTGTCATTCATCGACACATTAAACATATTTTGTGGTTGCTTTGAAGGGCGTGGATATGAGAATTTAACACATTATTAATTATTACAACAAAATGTATGTTAATCTGACAGTTAAACATGTCTACATTGTGACAAAAGCTTAAGATATAATGATATTTTGGTGTTCACCACATACACAACCCAATTATTGTTTAAATATCAAAGTAAAAACCAGTAGGCAGGACCATTGCGTGATATACAAGACTTAAAAAAGAACAAATGAAAATCTTTGAATTTATTGTAAACATTGGGAGATCCAGGACTCAGTACAATACGCTGGGGCTGTTGAATGATAATGAAAGAAGGCGCCGACTCTAACAGCAGAGTAGAATATCTCGGCTGAATGCTGGCAGTTGATTAGACGTTTCTTTCCAGTACATGTAGCCATCATATGGTTCAAAAAAAGTTTGTCACATGCAGCCCGATCAAAGCCAAATCTATGTCCCTGTTAGAAGATGAATGAGTTTTAATTTCTTGTTACTTGATTAATGACAACTTTGATAATAATGAAGGCAACTATTATTTCTTTACGGAAAAAATCTGATAGATTATATCGGTTTTCAATCACTGTAGCTTTTCTCATCCTCATTTAATGATATCTTTACTCTAAATAATGTCTCGGAATTTATAGCAATGTTATTTATTTATTTATTTTTGAATTTCTTAAATATGACGTCATATATAATAACGTACCTGAAGTCAAATATGTAGTGAAATTTGATTCCTTTCGGAAATGACAGTTGAATGACATATTTTGTGTCAAATAATTCGATAAATAATGCAAATAAAAAAGTGAAAGTGGGGTACATGAAGTACAACGTTTCATGTCTGCATAGTTTTCATGAAGAGCTAACGCAAATTCATTTTTTAAGTAAAAAGTGCTAAACTAAAAATCTTACACAGTCATAGCAGACATCGTGTTTATTACAGGAAGGTGTAAATTGTGCCTCGTAATCAAAATGGAGAAGCGGAACACTGCATCCATCCACAGCTCCTGGAGGAGCATTGTCCATACATACGTCACTTCCGGAAACTCCCAAAACGGCTACCACATACCACACGATCAGGTTTACAATGTCCTAAACTCATGATAAATGACTTGATTAAAAAAAGAAACTTTCTGAATTAAATCTAATTTAATTTCACGATATAAATACAACTGTTTAAACCACAATTTTTAGTTGTAGGTATAAATCAAGTTTACAGCGTTCCTTACATATGAGTACAGAAAAGAGAATAATTGAATGTTGTATTTCTTCAAAATATTTAATAATTTTGATTCAATATTTGTGTTAAATTTGTTAGGATTCTATGATAGCTTATCTAAAAGTTATCTTACTTAATATCACACACTTAATGGTAACATGAAAGGTCATTGTATTAATAGCACTCGGAAGTCTTCGAAGACAGATTAAAGGAAAAGAAGTGATTTTCGGAATATTTTCGTAAAATTCCCATCAAAAATACATTTATAAAACATGTATAACGAATGGGTGTAATATGTGTCTATGTGCCTTTTAATCGTTTTCTTTTCAGTTATAACACTTTTGCCATTTTCTTATGTTTGATTTTGATAAAATCACTTACCAAATAAGGGTAAAACATGATAGAAATTAAATAAAAGTAAACCAAACTACCTTATTAATTCTTTGATTGAATTTTAATCGCCAGCTGCCCTTTAGCTTCTCGAAATTCAGTGTAATTCATTTTAAAGAATGAGGAATGCTCAGTAAAGCCTAATTGAATCCTAAAAAATTACCGTTTATTACATTCCTAAACTGTACTTTATAAGTACCATTTGCACCTATCCACTCTAGTGCAATATAACATAGCACTGCGTTCCACTTTCCCTACCCTGATTATACAGAATCATTCTGAGACCTATTTTCTGCATTATTATTAGGGCACTGGAATTCACGTGCCGCGATTTTAAGATTTAATTAATTGATCCCATCGATCACCTTACCTGCATGATTTAGCCAAATCCTCTTATAGTATTGAAAGATATCTCGTATGGCATATCTTATCAAAATAAATCGAGTGAATAAAATGTCCATTTCCTAAGTCTTAGCCTGGTGACTTCAGTACAGGTCACGCAATAGCTTCGTCAGAATGATAGGGCTTAATTTGACCGTGGATCGCCAGTTCACAGGCTGGTATTAATATACATTAAATCTGTCTTTCAAAGTTTTGAGATTCATCAATAGATATAATTCAAATATCATACCAAGAAAACGAGCTGAGTTCAATTTTGAGCTGTGTAGAAGAGTTCACGAGTCCATTTCGTCACATATATGAGATCAATGTCTTATTTTATTAAATCAAAGTTTACAAATTTGATGATTAATAACTCACATTTATAGGCATGTTAGTAGAAACGCGATAAAGAATTACACTGTATATACTTTGAACAGACAGGTGGGTTCATTCCGTAAATCTAACTTTCAATGTGGTAAAATAAAATCGTACCACTTTTAGTTGAAAATGAAGAAGATACAATGTCATCAGCGTGATTACATTGCATCCATTACGTTGCATTTTAGGTACAATTGTCACCTTTTAAAGGTCTTGCAAATATTAGAGATACTGCTTTCATAAATGAAACATTTCAAATAGTTTGACAAAAATATAGTTAAGTAATTGATCACTACCAACATTCTGGGTTAAAAAAATTACAGATTTTTAAAAAATGGTTTGTTTATTGATCCAATATTATAAATCTCTATAAAAAAAAAACATTGAGGATAGATAGTTTGTATAGACAAAAGATCAATAAAAAAAACGGTGTTGAAAAATAAAGAAAGAATGAAGGATATTTCACACAAGATAGTCAGATAAAGGGAACCTTTAGGTAAATAATAATTATTCCTTTCATCCAAAACGCTGCATGTGAAACATCTCATAACTTATGAAACATAAAAAAAACAAAAAAAACAATTGCTTTATTTCTAGAACATATTTGGAATTTGCTCCATATATATTCAGAATAATATACATAAAGTACATAATATTGTTTTTACCGTTTATATTATATTTAAACGTATACACGTAGGAACGGTCCCTTTGTAATGTCATGACATTTCACAGACCAAAGATTATCGTAACAATCTCTGATTGATCTAGATTACTCTGTTTGATCAGTCCATCTTATCTTTATTCAGAATCAGTCTGTTGCCATTTCAACAATAACAACCCAGTCAAATCTCTTGTCAACAACTTGTAAACAGTCTTTGTGTAATTAACGGAAAATCTGCGCTTTAAAAGACATATTTACAATAAAACCTTTCATCGCGTACTTTTAACATAGAAAACATACCGGGACATCTATAAAAAAGAATGTTAAGCCCATTGATCGTCACTTCAGAGACTGAAGGTTTTTGTGTATTAGCTTTTAAGTGGTTAAGAATGTAATCTGATTTAGAAGAGTCCATTGACATCTATATAGTTTGCTGATTTTTAAAAAACCCCTCAGAACCCGCGATACACGTTTGAGAAACACACGACAAGGAATTTTGTTCCTGTAAATTTAAGATTCGACAATGGAATTTATATCCGCTACCGACAGAGTGAACGCTGCATTCGCTACCTTGCAGTCTGAGTTGGTAAGAAATAAAACTGATTATCACTTCCCTATTTTCATTGCTTTAAAAAAACCTGTTTAATTCTCTGTAAACAACTTAACTGCATACTCATTTAATTGAGGAATTACAAATTTGAAAAAAAAGATGCAGTTTAATTTTTTAGAGTCATTTGTAAATTAATCAACCAAAAAAATCCTTTCTTAAATATGTTTATAATAGATTACAGAAAATGTACAGTGTATTGATGTATTAAGATGAACTTTTCTTTTTCTCAATTGCTTCAGCTTTTTTGTTTTTTAAATCTAATCTAAAATAATTTTTCAGAGAGAAATCAGAACACAAGACATCAGTCTGATGAAGCAATTGCTGAGTATCAATGATTCCATTCAGAATCTGTCGAGGAGAAGGAGCGACAAGTCACGCGCCAGAAGAATGACACGAAAAATCTCCCGTAAACCAGCGCTGGCGGAAATCACAGATGAGGACCAAACATACAGCAGGAAGGACGAAATCAAACTCCTGACCAACATTAAACTATGGAAATATTCCCAGTCCGACGAATCAAGCTCGGGGTCAGAGTCAGAAGTCCTGTCTGACTAGAAGGCTCCTCTAACTAACCGATTCCAACAATTACCTCTTGTGACGAAGGTCTCTCTATAAACTGATGCATCAAGTAACACTTTCTCGACAAATCAGTTTTAGAGGCATACAGATCGGATTTAGAACAATCTTCTTCATCAGACTTTGCCGTCTTGAATTGTTTCTGTTTTTTCTCTCGTCGCCTTTCATTGATGAAAGTAGGGTTTTGTAATGAAGGCCGATGACAGAGAACAAGGCAATGGTAGCAGTTGTTGCTGTTATTCTGTTTGGTTTATTGTCTTTATGTCTGTTTTGTTTGTTTGTTTGTTTATCTGTTTGTTTGTGCTAGTTTGTTTATGATTGCTAGCGAGAAATCTCTGTATGAATCTTTTGTGGTTGTTCGTATAGGTAAATTATTATTTACCCAATGCACGTTTGTGTTTATTTCGACGAAGTCTTTCCTCGGCGGATTCAAATATTTCTTGTTATGTGCAATGTAATATTTTTTTTTATTCAAAATGTTTTAAATTAAAACTTTTATACCAAGTTTTGCTATTATACACTCTTTGAAATTATTTTAATTCCATTGTTCAAAGTTACATAAATTAAAAAAAAACCATCGGTTTATTCCGGATAATGTTCAACTAAATTTAATTAATGTTTTTGCACATTACACTAAACTGTTGATTAAGCTCTTCACAGATATTGTGAGCACTTATTTTGGTTCTTTATGTAGAATTTTTTGTGTGTTCTATAGTTCGTATGTCTGTCCAGAACTTTAATCTTGACCCATTACCAAGCTTTAATAAGTCATGATGTGGGACAAGGTTAAAGCGTTTTGATAACTTGAAGTAATGCATAAAGACTACAGGTCTATAAATAATGAGAATTTGGCTACGTTTACTGGCAAATATTTGTTATGTTATTGGAGAGAGTTTTTTGTCAATTAAAAAATTTAGCAGCTATTATTGTTTTTAAAAATTGGTTTAATGAAAAATTTAAATAAAATTCATTTGAAAAAAAGAACATAATTGTTTTAAATATTATATAGTCTTCATGAAGAAGCTTTAAAAATTATTGAGATATTAATATTATATTATTTAGGTTTTTTTGTTAAATACTTCGGAAATAAAGATATTAAAACTTGCTTGGGTTTCTTTATTTGTTCGTAACATTTGTCAGTTAGAGCCTTCTTTAGAACTTCAAATTTTTTTGTTGGACAAATAGTAATGTGAGTGCGCTATTCGCATGAATTTAATAAAACTCTGCAGATAATAAATATAAGTATTTTTCAATAAATATACAAATATTTTATGTTTTCCAATTTAAAAAAAGATTATACAACTGTATCATTAAGATAAAATACGGAGTAAGTCACGTTTAGCATTTTTTTCATTTTAAAGCAATTTTATGAAATAAAAAATTCCATTGTTCTAGATGTACTATATTTCATTTGTCGCTACAATATTCATAAAACGTCATTTTGTGAAATTTTGAGTTGAATTAGATAAATAAAGATTGTTCATTAAAAAATGATAGATGATCAATGCGTAAAAACAAAGTCAAGAATGGTAACGACGTCATTGAACGTCTTGGAGCACCGAGCTGTTTAAAAATCATGCGTACGGGCAGGAAAATGTCCCTAAAGACTAAAATGGTATTAATTGCTGCTGGTGATCACCTACACTATCTGGAATCAAAGTGTTCAAATTATAGCAGCATTTTAAGAATGAAAGGATTGTCTTTTTGTACATAAACTCCTGCGATACTCCGCTTATTGCCCTCACATTGGTTCTATGGATTTCGAATTTTTCCGTATCCGAACGTTAAACTGTGTAGACAATAATTTTAGGATCTAAATGATACCCGAAAATCCAAAAAAGACATATTTTTAAAAAGCTACGTTTTGATATATTTATATTTTTTAAACGGGAAAAAGACAAAACATGTGTGTCGAACTGAAAGATATTTGAAATTATTAAAAAGATTTACAGGTCTGGAATCAGGTTGTCAAAAAAACTTCCAAGTGGTTTCTCCGTGAATCATTTGACCGCAAAGTAAACAATATTGTATATTATTATACCTCATTGAATTTTTCTATATAAAAATATGACGAATAAACATGCTATTTTTTCCAAACAGTCCCTAACGTGGAATAGTTTTTGTGCTATTTGCCCATGGTGAAATAGTCATTAAACTATTCACCGGCAGCATTCTGTTTCCCTCGCTTTTCATCTCGGAACTCTTCTGGTTTTATCCAGATTGTGACGTAACACAAGTAAAAACTGCTTCGGTATAATAAAACACCTATTTACTGACTATTCGGACAATAGCAAGTTTATTGTCCCCCTCGACAGCAACTATTTCCCTCGGCTGCGCCTCGGGAAATAGTTGCTGTCTTGGGAAACGATAAACTTGCTATTGTCCTCATAGCCAGTAAATAGGTGTATATTATCACCTGCATATGGAGTTTATGTCCCCCAATTCATTCGATACGCAAGACCATGTTCTACATACGAAGTATTTCAAAATCGAGAAAGGCTATTGACAAATAAGTTGATGATACAAGGATATCAACGATCTCCTTTGAAATCAACATTTTACGAATGGTCGAAACAATGGCCTTGTTTGCAAATCGTCGTTAGGCCGAATGTTGACTGATGTTTTTCATGCAAATTGTTGAGCTATTATTTTCAAACTGTATCGTCTACGGATTTTCCGTTTACCCGATAATAACAAAGAGTGACGGTGGGTATGACCAGTCGGCAGGAGATGCTTATTCATCCAAGACACCTGATATCCAACCTCTGTTTTCAGAAGTCCATGCTCGCTCTGTTCATGATATGTCTTCTTTATAGGGACTTTTGAGCCTGATTGTTTGTCATTGTCACATTTCATACATGTCTTTATTTATGGTATCAATATTCCGAGGTCTTTGAAGCTGACATTAGCGTCATAATTAAAATAGTAACAAAAATATTACTTTGTATTCATATAAAAATTTACATTATGTGTACGGTATTTGAAAGCATAAATTTGAAAATTAAATGACCTATTTAAAATGTACGATGTGTCAACATATAACGATATCTGCTAGACAGCAAACAATGTTATTTTCATTCATACTTTGATGGGAGAAGATGATTTGATAAATAGAAAACATGTTTCATGTTGACATGGATGAAAGATATGATCATATTGTGTGGGCATTTCCTTTGTCGAACATGGACAAAACTAAAAAGTTGTAAGTTTTGCATTAATTGTCAGAAAATGCATTTTTATTCCATCTAAAGTTACGCAAAAATATTAATAACTTTGCACTTTTGTAACAAAGATTGGTCACGACGACCCGCCTTATGAGTTTTACGTTTACCTTTGTTGAATGAAGAATGACCCATGATTTGATTAAAAACAAAACAGAACTACATTTACATTTTCCGTTTTTTTATTATGCTTCCTGATATTGCTTTAGATAGATTTTACCCTTTCCTTATGAACAATATCTTCTACATTGATATTCGAATAAAACTAAGTACAATGAATGATGAAATACCGTCCTGATGGTTGTCTTTGTAATTGTTGCTACTTGTTATAATTTTCAGAAATTTCAACAAAAATGAGGGTTTTTTTCTCTACCACTATCTATGTGGCAAATTGAAAAAAAGTATTTAAAATTGTATAGTTTTATTGTATCAAGAATCTATAGCCATTTCGACTACAATTATAGTGGGAATAGTTGGACTGTTGAGCCTTTCTCAGATAATGCTAAAGATCTACCTGGGAGATTTCCGCTTTTTCCTTTATAATGCCTTTGAGACACGTAATAGTTATTCGTATTTACCTTCCTAGTTTAAACAGTTTTTAATCTATAGCTTTAAAAACTTCCTCTTTTTCGACAACACATAATATGTGTATTATACTGTTACATACATGTATGACATTATCATTGTGATTGTAAACCCTTTTGTCGGTTGTTTATCAAAGTATTGATCGAAAATATAAACATTTATTCTAACCAGATATTGATTAATAATACAAATGAGATGAAACTAAGAACAATATTAATATGTCTTGTTGATGAAGTTACACCAGATTAATTTTTGCCTATTTTTCTGAGTTCATATGATACCTACGTCTTTAATGGTACTGTATACATGTAGTTAATTTGTACAGGTTACGTTACCTATTGAAAAATATTCTTTTTTATGTCTTCCAACGAATCAACAGTATTTTGTTGGAATTGATACTCTTCTACTCTATTTAATTGTATAAAGAGGGAAAAGAAAAAATCAATTTGAAGACAGAATATTCAACTGAAAATTAGAAATATTCTGAATTACTTTGTTTGCAAAGTTAGCGTTGATCGTTTTCTAAGAGTATGGTGATAAAAAGATAAAATTCGAAATCAATAATACAGTATAATAAATATTATTTTATATGTAACTACATTTCTCCTGTACTCGGCAGTACATTTATTTTTGAAGATTTCGGAATATTTTTTGCTTACATATCTATGTTGCTGTTCTTGATCTTGCTTTATTAGATTTCCATTTTTTTTCCCATCAACATTACATGTGTAAAATTGGTACATGCAACTCACATACGAAGTAACATACATGCACTATTTTATTTTTGTAAAGTATTCTCAAATATATGCAATATTTATTCTAAAAAATCAAATTTATTCTCCAAAAAATCTACGAAACATACAAATCTGTGATCAGGACATAAAATACGGTTTCCTGGAAATTGCAGAGGTGGAATCAGGTGTCTAGGAGGAGTAAACATCCCCTGTAGACCGGACACACCCGCTGTGAGCGATATGTATTGATCAAGTAGACGGAACATTCTATAGTCAAATTCATAATAAAAACAAAGGCCTTACTATAAGTATGAAACACCTCAACCAAAATACGACCCAATGGTGATATTCTGATAACAAGGTTATTATAACGACCAAAAAATATAAGAAATGATGACTTTGAACGACGTTGTTGAAAACATTGTAATATCTGTCAGTAATCTAAATTGGTTTAAAAATTGATCGTACTCAGAGCGTGCTCTTGAGCATCGAATAAGTTGGGAGACATAAACACCATATGCAGGTGATAGCACATAAATGGAGAAAGTTGACGATGGGAATGCTGAAGTAATATCGTTTTTCATGCAGTTTATTTTATTAGTTTGTCCTTATCGTCTATAGTCAGTAAAACATCAAATATGAAACAGAATGTGGTAGATTCTGTGGATCTTTTATTTTGAATTCATAGGGATATATCGAGTCGACATATTAACGAAAGTAACTGTTGTTAGTTGATGAAACGTCGTTGATATATATCTAAATGTGGAATTGAAGGTCACAGGAAGTGTTTTCTTCATAAAGAAGTTTTGAATAAATTCTGCTTCATGGGAAAGATATGCAACAACTTATCAAATTACTTTTATTTTCAGATTTTAGTTTGCAAATTTTTCTTGTAGAAATGAATACTTTATTATCAGTTTTAAATGGAGAAAAACACTGGAAGCTAAACATTTGCTTCAGTTGGTTCAATTGCGCAGCATTTACCCTAAGTTATAGCTTCGAGGTATAAACATAAGGGCCTTTGCGTAATAGTTACATTTTCAGAACCATTTATGTATATTCTTTTTTTTCTAAATTTATTAATTGTTTTATATGGTTGTAGTGGAGGGTAGACAATTCATGAAACCTTATTTTCATATATTTTAGAAACACCGGGTGAATGAGCACATTTACGTTTCTGAACCGAAGAAAAAAAAAACATGTTTAACATACTGCCAAACTTTAAATCAATTGCAACTGGAAAGGGTAGCGCTCAAATAAAACAACAAATATAAATATGTTACATAAATGTACATCCTCAAATACTTTACAAATTTCTAAAGGCACTTATAAGGAATATTTAGATGTTAGGGTAATATATTATTATTTATTTTATCTAAAATACTAGTATTTTTTACCTTTATTGTTTATTTTTTTTATTGTCTTTCTTTTCATATTTTTCTCATATGCATGTTTTACGATGTTAGTAAAAACTAGGTACTAATATAATCCAGTTTACATCTGTACGTTAAAAAATTTACCATCAATCAAAGTTGTTTCATTGAAGAATGTTATTGTCATTATTTTTAAGGTCAATATTATATGACAGTTTACAATAAAAAAATTTGTATATTTTGGCAAATAATTCATTTCAGCAGTAAAACACTTGTGATCACAATCAGATTTGATTATCAGGCAAAGTAAATGTGTTGTAAATAAGTCACGTTTTAGTGAATTCTGTCAAGAAAGACAACTTCAGCGGCATTGTAATCTTCGCAAAATTAATACAATGAAATATATATTTGTCCTTAAAAAGTTTTGTCATGACAATCAATCAACCTAATTAAAATCAGTCCATGACAAAACATCTTATATATTGTTAATGTATGACATATTTAAAAGCAAGGTTTAGGAAGTCCACATGCTAATTGTTAAGTGTAGCACCCTGTGCTTGTTGAACCAATGTATAAGTGAAAATGTATCGCTGGATTGAAACCATCCCTTTTCTACATATATTGCTGTGTCACGATTAAAAGTCAAGATCGTATTGTTTTGTTTGAAATACTAAAATACGCCAGATCATTTTAAAACTAATTTTTCAGTATTAAACATTCATTGAAGGCATAAAAAGAGAAAATTACAATATTCAAACTGTAACTTTAAAAAAAAAAAAAGAATAAAATGTTGATTGAAAACAGGGTACTCATATTCTGATGGTTTTTAGACAGGAAAAAGGTGTTTTGTCACTGATGATAAAACGAATTTGCCATTTTTATATGAAATGAATTTTCATAATAAGAAACACCTTCGCACCCTACCCTTCAACATTAAAATAAAATACATTGCAATAACAAAATTCCTTATGATTTTTTTTAAAAAGTAGTATGTTATCAAAATTGAAATAAGTTAATTTTTTATACAATGTCATCGCTATCAAGCAAAGTAAATTCCTCTCACAAATTTAAAATGTACATTATATTTTTTAATATATTTTTTTATCGATTCAGAAAAATAATGAAATGCACTGAAAATCAAAAGAATAAGATAAAGACCTAATTATTCAGTGCGATATCCTTCGTATCAGGACATTTATCACTATTGTCAGCCATAGATAAGACTGAGGGCGGAGTCATGCTGCGATATGAAGTGTCTATTGGCTAAGCGCTGTGTCAACAAGACAACATAGATCTATAAAAGTAGCAGAGAGTGTTGACAAGGTAAGTGTTTCATGTTACGTGCTTTGGAATTTAGTATTTCTTTATCTTTAACGTATTTCAGAAATGGATGCAAGTACCTCAGAGGAAAGAATTACTTTAGCATTGGCTGCATTGAAATCTGATCTGGTAGGAAATATTTTTATTTGAACTATTCCAAATAAAAATTTTTTTGCTTGCTTTGTATGTCAATAATTGTTTTTAACTGTTACAGATGGACATGCGCAGTCAGGATGTACAACTGATGAAGCAATTAATTGCCATCAACACGACTATAAGCTCAATGTCCAGTGGAAGACGATCTGGTTTTACAGTCCATAGAAGCGCAAGTTTTAGTGTAATAAACAAACCTAATCCAAGGCCATTCCAAACGAGACGATGCTCAGACAGCGCTTGCAATACCAGAAAAGTGCTTACTAGACACAACAGTGAACCAGTTCCGTCGCCCAGAGGTTCATTGAACTCAAGCCTCGAAGGTAAGTTATTAGATCTTGTTCGATCAAAGATTACATCATTTCCATGAGCTTTTTGCAAATTAAAAAAAAATCTTCTTTTGTTTTCATGTTTATGATTTTCCTTCCAGATATCGATAGCAGCTATGAGGACCTTGCTGGTTCAGAAGACAGTGATAATGAGACGCCCTCTCGGTCTCCACAAAGGGTTGTATCTTCCAGTCAGTCTCTGAGAAAATCCTCTCTATTTTTCATGAGACCACTACCAGAAGAACCAGACCTTGATGAGAAGAAATATTATGGAATACTTATGAAGAATATTAAATTGTGGAAATATTCACAGGATTCTTTAGAAAGTGCATACAGCACAGGGGATTGACTATCTTTTTCCTGGCGCCATCTAATGACGTGAAACAAGGCTTTGCAGAACCCTTCTGCATCCAAAGGAGGAAACGGTGATAGCTATAATTAGTGCTTGATGCGCCTTACACGTAGTGTCGCTAATGCAGAAGGTCAAATAGAAGTGCCCCTGTCTCATATATTACAGACAAATCTGTCTCCAATGATGGCACTGACTCTGAAATCACATGACAAAGCTGTACATTTCCTGCTTCATTATGTAATACAGCTTGGTGTAAGAATCTGTACATTGGATTTTTGTTGGCAAAAAAAGTTATCTTGAAGTTTTGTTGGTTCACATAACAACGAATAGCATTCCATGGTGTATAGATAATAAGTTGGAAGACTATAGCTAGGAAGTATAAGATAACTGAAACAAAATATTTATTTGTGGTAATAATATACATTTTGTTGATTCTTTTTACTTGTTAATAAAAACAATACCCACATCTACTTGTTCTGTTTCATATATTTATAGAAGAAATAAAATTTCTTCATTGTTTTGTTGCATTGAAGAGTTCTGAGATATTTGACAAAGTACCTGTTGAAATGAAATTTTACATCATGATACCCTTAAATGGTCATAACTATAAATGCATAATAAAATGTGGATGTTATTTTTATCATTATTCGAACCACTATTTGAATTTATAGAAGAAATTCCTAGTTTTCTAACGAGATATCTCTATGAATCTTTAGATTCGAAATGCAAGCTGTAGCATCAAATCTGTGCGGTGGTAGTAAGGTGTTTATTAAAGTATAACTGGAACGCGTAATTAATACACATCTATGGTAAAGAAAAGTAATAGGTCTCAAAGAAACTTACAAACAATACAAATCTGTGAACAGGACGTATAACACAGACCCTCAGAAATTTCAGAGGTGGGATCAGGTCCCTAGGAGGAGTAAGCATCCCCTGTCGACTGATCACACCCGCCTGAGCCATATGTATTGATAGGTAGATGGAATATTCCGCAGTCAAATTAAGCAAAAAAATAAAAGCCTTACAATTGGTATGAAATATGTCAGTTAAATATGACCCAATGATAGGTTATATTTGCTAATCTTAACATTCGTCTATTATTTTATCTAACATAAGTGTATTGATTCCCATTATTATAATCGCTACGTTGATTAATAATCCTTCGGTTTTCATATCAATATCTAATAATATAAGGTGATGTGACTGTTTCTAGCATATCATCTTGAGAACAAGTCACATGTAATAAACAAAAAAAATTCTACAGACTGTTACTCAGTTGATACATAGCAGGAAGCATACATAAACGTATTATCGTATATATCCTTGAATACTTATGTTAATTACACCAATATACGCCAACCATTTGAACGTGCTAACAATTCATTATAAATAAGCATTGCCTCTGGAGTTCCAATAAACGGATTGAGAATGTAAATTTATTACCTAAGCTCTGAAAATGATTTGTTGCTTTTCTACAATTCGTCTATAAAGAGGAGATCTTAGAAATGGCTGACATAAATTTGAATTATCCGATACGATCTAAGCGTGTGTTGAATTCTTGAGGACATATACTTTTATAACAAAATAACCAACTAGAATGCTTCATTTTTGCTTTACATTGAAGGATCACTGAGATTTGCCCAATTACAATGAAAATGTTAAAGACATCGAACAGTGATCGATCTTAAAAAACACAAACAATACAAATCTCTTATATCTAAAGTATTTTATGAGATATTTATTTATTTACACACTGAATTGTCTACGGATTTTTCCGTTTTCCCAGTTATAACAAGAAGCACACGGCGGGTATAACCGGTCGACAGAGGATGCTTACTCCTAAATTGCACCTGATCCCATCTCTGATATTTTTAAAAGTGAGTGTTTGCTCTGCTCCAGTATTGCTTCAATGGACTTCTGAGCTTGATTAATGTTCGTAATCTTCTAATCATATACATTTACATATTTTTAAAATTGAATGTTATGAAGCGTTTAGAAAATATATGCGAAATTTTATGTTAAATCCAATTGATATTTTTTTCATCTGTTAATGAGTAAATTCAAATTATCTATGTACTTAACAATTTAAACTAATTTAGTCACTCTTATGTAAACCTCTAATTGTTTAAGAACTACTTTCTTGTCTAAAGGCAATACAAATTAATCGTATCAATAAACAACACTTTAAATCATTGTTTCATGTGATGATTGTAAGAATTCGATAATATCTAATCAACAGACTAGGAATTTATGTTATCAAGGTGTCATGTACTTTTTGCACGTACATGTATTCGTTAAATTGTCAATGGTAGGTACAGACGATATATCGATATTTTAACATAATCAAAACGGTACTATCTAGTCATCGCCATTTTATCTTCAATTAGCTTGAAATAATTATATCTAACTATCAGTAGACTTCAGGTTACATGTATCAACGAATATACCGCCGGAGTTCAAAATAAGCTATGATGCACTTCTTCTTATCTTGATCTTTGCAGATAGGAATGTTACAAAACAAACATTTAAATGATTATTAATGTGATTAAATATAAATGTTTGTAGCACTAGTTTACATATATTCATAAATAAAAGAAGAAAAAATAAAATACGGAATGCCACGATTCTTTTTCTCTGGTCGTCTTTCTCTCAGAAATAAACGCAATATATGGTATAGACTCTTGCATAATCAGGGCCCCACAAATAAATAAATTCATTAATATATCATACAATAAAGTAATAATATTTGAGAACGCTCTAATATTATCTAGATTTGCAAATGAAGAACACATCATATCTCTATCTTTTTGGACTCCTCACTGACTTGAAGGAGTGCTTAAAACAACACTGTACTACTTAGAAATTAAATTTGGTCATTATTTTGTTCCCACTGAAATCGTTTCATTGTAGACAGCAAGACTACAATGACAAAAATCTAGACTACAGCTACTTCATCTAGACATCTGAGAATAGGACCGCCCTAACTAACAAACATCAAGGAAACAGAAAAACAGTCGTGTGAAACACACACTTACAATTGTCGTGAGAGTGGTTTTAAAACCTTTGAAATCTTTTTAAAGTACTTTGTACTTTAAGAGTGAAATCATGTCAATTACTAGTAGATTGTGAATGATATTGTAAACATGAAGGACAATCTCTAAAATATAAGACTTCTAAACATTCTTCATGTTCTTTGACGATATACAATGTATTATGAAAATATAAGAAACTTTGCGACCTATTATTGCTAAGTTGAATCATGATTCTTTAAAACGAATGATGTAGAATTGAATCAGAGACGTTAATTTCATGAACATTAAAAACAGAAAGTAAATCAAAATTTACTGTATTTTTCTTTTGATTTCTTAACTTCACATTCAAAGCAACACACCTTCGTCACTTTACGACATTTAATTACCATTAGTATTTAATGTTTTTAAACATTTCCTTGTTTTAATCGAATGCATATTTATTCTTCTGATTATAATTACCTACTTTACTGGCATGTAACAAAAGTGAAAAGTGGTAGCCTAGTGAACTCAAAGAGAGACACTGCATGAATTATATCAGTCATTAGAGAACCTAACCATATGAGCGCTTTTGTAGGTACACTTTAAATTCTTTTAACCAGAAAATGGCAATTGTATTTATAATGCATTGAAGCAATTTACTGTTAACACTTATATGTGTAATTTAAAGTAATATCTGGGCGATAAAGCATATTTGTAATATTAGATTCAATCTATTATCTTGTGGCAAAGGCATTTTATTTGGGCACATGGAAGCCAAATAATTCCACGAACGTTTACTTGAATGGTCAGTGATGAAATATGAAGATAATGAACAGTCATCAAACTAAAAAAAATCATTAAAACAATACAAACTTGGAGCAGAGCAAACATCAGAGGTGGGATCAGGTGCCATGGAGGAGTAAGCATCCTCTGTCGACATTTCACACCTGCTCCTTGTGCTCCTGTCATGATCGATAAACGCAAAAATCCGTAAGATAATTCTGTGTAAAAAAAGTAATGGCCTAACGATTTGTATTAAAAACGTCAGTCAACATTCGATTTAATGATTTATTGTATTTGCTAACAAGGTCCTTCTATCGACCATAGAATATATGAAATGTTGACATTGAAGGAGACTTGATATCCTTGTGTCATGAACTTATTCGTTTATTTCTTGCTTCGATTTAGAAATTATTCGTACATAAAACTGTTCTTGCGTATCGAATCAAATGTGAGACATAAACTCCATATGCATGTGATAAAGGTACATTGATGCATAAATAAGGGAAGTTCACGATCGAAAACTTGAAGCATGACAAAAGAACTTTATATTGAATGGTCGACATAAAACAATCAGTCATTGAAAGGAGGAAAAAAACTTTAGGCGACAAAAAAGTCAACAATTTACTACATACACATAAACAGCAAATGATTTTTCTGTTATGAAAATTAATAACAAAATGATTCTACAAACTGTTTGTAATGAAATGTGAAGTAACAAACGGTAACCATGCTCAAAAGTTCAATTAAACATTCAACCTGAGAGGAGAGTAAAAGCGAATCCTTGAAAAAATCAGAAGTGGAAATGGGTACGATGGAGGACTAAGCGTCTCCTGTCGACCGCTCACATCCGATATGAACCTTTTCTCTTAATTAGGTAAACGAAAGAATCCGTAGACAATGCAGTATGAATGTAATGTCCTGACAATTTGTATTTTGAAGTCAATATTCGACCTACCAATGGGTTATATTTGCAGAAAAGGTCATTGTATCGACCATTAATATTCACAATATTGACTCTAGATTGTTGATACCCTTGTGTAATCATTTTATTTGTTAGTATCCTACACGTTGAGCAATTGTTCGTTCGTATCATGCTCTTGTGTATCGAATCACCTGAATGGCATAAATGCTTTTTTGTTGAAAACATCACATTTATCAAAAAGTTTAGAAATTTTAAATTCAAAGTTGTATCGTTGAACAATACCATTTCAATATTTCATTTTTAGGACAAAGGGTTAGCTTTATCACACTAAGATTGAGAAGCGGCGCCAGATATATCCATAGCTTAATTGTTTATTTTTATTATTATGAGTATTTTAGCTATTAAAAGAATTTGTCGGATGTAACCTTGATCTCCATGTTAAGATTGCTGTCAAGTGGCACTAACATTGGTAAAATATACAATTACAGTAACGTATTTCTGATCTGATTTCGACGTGATAAATGTAACAATGAAGACATAACACTTTTTATAAAGCCCCTTCATTTTACAACTTTTTATAATATCTATAATGAAGGCAATTGTTAATAAAAGTAGGTTACACTATTAAATGTCATCCTCATTAATTTAATTATAGATAATAGCTAATCATTTACATCAAGTTATAACGACTTCACATATTTCTTACATCATTAGAATTACGCTGTATTTTTAAACTCTTTATGGCATTTTACAT